AGACACAGCAGTGTACTAGTCCAGCCACTAAATAATCTACATAAGATTTATCAACTTAACACAGACCTCCAGGACATTCCATCACTTTCTAATCTCCCGTTTTGTATGAATACATCTCTTCTACCTCATCTCAACTGTTAATGGCCGATTTGACCATCATACATTTTCACATTGCCAAGTATTTTCTAGTTGCAGATGGTTTCCTACTTTCTATTCTAAAGAAAAACCTTGGCTTTAGCCAAAGCCTTCAAAAACAAGGAAATAAAACTGATTTGTGCTTGCTCCTAAGACACATGAACTCGTAAGTCTAACAATCGCTGCTTTTCATCCAGAAGATGGGGTACACTGCAAGTGGACTGGGGGGACGGAGGAAACTGTGCCACAATCAATGAATGAAAACCCAGCTTTTCTGTAAACTCTTGTTAAAATCACACAACAGCAATCCCTGCTCCTTGGGGCGGCGCAGTGGGGAGGGCATCTGACAGATCACCTTGAGCTGGACGTAAAATACAAGTCATCCCCGTCGTCGACGTACTTCTTTCTTGGTTTTGCCAGGACGGGCGTCTCCTGCTCGATGGTCTGCAGGTCGGAAGTCACTGAATGTGAAATTCCACTGGAGAAAAAAAAGCACCAAGAAAGCGGAGTCATACAGGCTCGTAGCTTTCACTAACGCAGCACTGATTATTTTCATTTTCAAAAATGAGTTTTTATATTAATATACAGATTCAAAATAATAAAAAAACGTAATAAATGAGTAGGGTTAAAATGCATGCAATATAAAGAGCCATTGTAAGTGGAGTTTGTCTTTAAAAGGGGGCACTGGTAGTGAAGTAGGTTAAGTATCGGGTTTTGAACTGAAGGGTCAGCGTGCAAAGCCACCAGCTGCCCCTTGGGAGAAGGATGAGCACCCCCTCCCATCAGGGTCAACTGCCTGGACACCCTCAGGAGGCAGGACGGACTGGAGGGCGGGGTGTGTGTGTGTGTGTCTGTCTGTCTCTGGGGACATGACGCTGTGTGGGGCTTGTGTGCTCACTACACTGGACACACCCAGCACATGCAGTGAGGCCCATGGTGTCTGCCCGGCGTGCGCTTCACAGGGGGTCGGCCCAGGGTTCTTTTTTCTGCTAAATATGAGAGTAATGCAAGGCCACGTAAGACCGGAATAATGAAAAAAGGGGCGCTGAACTGAAATTAACACAGCCGGAGGAACGTCCACACAAGGAACTGGTGGGAACTCTGGACCCCCGCGAGGCGCTCTCACTCACCTCCTGCAGCTCCCGAAGCCCATGCCAAGTCTCTCGGACTCCACTTTCTTCTTGCCACTGATGTTCACCTTTTCGTCTTTTGTCAGCTGACTGTCAAGATCCTTATAGGCGAATCTTAATGACGAGACCCTGGGGGACAAACGAAATTGCTCCTTAACTTCCCTCTGCCCCTCCGTGGGCCCGGGAGGTCCCGTGGCTCAGTAGTAAGAAGCCGTGCTGCCAACCCAAAGGCATGCGCTTCAAATCCACCAGCTGCTCTACATAACATGGGCCATCACCTCCCACGTGATCCACCACCTCTGGAAGCCTGCTGGCTGCTCAGCTGGGGGCCAGTTCCAACTCCACAGCACACAACCACAACCACCACCTCCCCACCCCACCCCCAGGTTCAACAGGGAAAACATGAAGAAAAAAACCAACACGTCTTTTAGGCTGTTTGCTCTGTGTGTCCCTGCACAGCACGGAACCAGGGAGGCCAACTGGCACCTCTCCCTACTGGCCCGTCCAGAGCAGATACCCAGACAAGGGAACAAGGTCACTCCTTGGGTGTAGCTCTTGTTGAACCAACATTATTGAGCAGTTTTCATTCCCATTACCTATCATGACACAGGATAACAATTTACGTTACCGACTGCCACTAGGTAAAAATATATCTGCTGTTGTTGTTGCTGTGTACCATCGAGTCAGGACCAACCATAGATGACCCTCCAGTGGGTATTCAGAGGCAGTGCACTGCATGGAAGGAGACTGCCCATCTTTCTCCCATGGAGCAGCTGGTGGATCAGAACCACATACCTTCGCATCGGCAGTGCAATTCCTAACTACTAAGCCACCAGAGAGGGAGCTCTGTTGGCCTAGTGGTAAGAAACTGTGCTGCAATCCCAAAGGCACACGGTTCAAATCCAGAAGCTGTTCCACAGGAGAAGGATGGGGAGTCTCCTCCCGTGCGATTAACTGTCTCTGAAAACCCGCTGGAGGGTCAGCAATGGGTCAGTACTAACTCAACAGTGCACAGTAGGTCACCAGAGCTCCCAATTTAGCATAATTTATTTCTGTGTATGACAGTAGCTGTCAGGATTTCCTACTCATGTTATTATATGATACGGTGTCATGGACTTGCAGCATTTGCCACAGAAAGTCAAGGACTGGAATCTTCAATACGGGTCGAAGCTCAACACCAAGAAAACAAATATTCTCACCAAATGGCAAGTGGCAGCACCATGATAGATGGAGAAGAGATTGAGATTGTTAATGATTTCAGCTTGCTCGGCTCCACAATTCAACATTCTTGGCACCAGCAGTCAAGAAATCAAAAGATGAAATGCACTGGGGAAGGTCAGGGACCTCGCCAAAGTGGTAAAGAGTAATGATGTCAATCTAGAGACTAAGGTGCACCTGATCCAGGCCATGGTATTCTCAATTACTGGCTTTGCATCAGAGAGCTGGACAGTGACTGAGGATGACCAAAGAATCGATGCCTTTAAGCTGTGGTACCGGAGCAGAGTCTTAAACATACCATGGACCACCAAGAGAACAAACAGGTCTCTCTTAGAGAGGAAGAAATCAAGTTTCTCCTTGAAGACAAGGATTTTGAAGCTCTGTCTCACATTATTTTGGGCATGTGGCCAAAGTGACCAGTCTTTGGAGAAGGACATCAAGCTTGGAAGGGTAGAGGACCAGCACCGGAGAGGAAGACCCCGGATTAGATGGACTGACACAATAACTGGGGCAATGGAGATTGGTGTGCTGGAATTAGTGAGATTGGCTCAGGACAGGGCAGGCTTCGGAGCTGCTGTACATAGGGTCACCATGGGTTGCAGGCAACTCAACAGCACATAACTACAACATATAACATGTCAAAAACATAGGGTAGGTGTTTTATGTTTGCGCTTATTTAAGGTAACATTGTACAAAAATTTGACTTACATACAGATAAACTGAAAGCTCAGGTGCATGTAGGAGCTCAGGTGGCCTTGTGGGTAAGGAGGTGTGCTGCCAACTCTAAGTCAGGCAGTTTGAATCTATCCTGGGAGAAAGATGGCCAACCTCCTGCCATGAGATTTATAGCTTCTAAAAACCCACTGGGGGGGG